CATCGTTCATGTATTACCGTGAAGAAATAAGATTGTCAAATGCAGAAGCATTAAGCTGGGTGGATAGCATTCCAGTGGAGAAATGGACAAGGGCTTTTGGTGGAGGATGCCGATGGGTTCACATGACCACAAACCTTTTGAAATCCCTAAACGACGTATTTAAGGGAACTAGAAACCTCCCCATCACTGCATTGGTAAGAGCAACCTATTATAGATTGGGGTCACTTTTTGCGGCAAGAGGCAAAGAATGAAGCGCTGTTTTAGAATCAGGGCAATTATTCAGCGAAATATGTATGAAATATATGAAGGAGGAAACTGTTAAGGTGGCCTCACATCAAGTTAGAGCATTTGACCATCACGATTACAACTTCATTGTTGACGAGACAAAGGATCACAATGAGGGTCGGCCAATGAGATACTACAGGGTGGAAATTCATAAAAATTAGTGCGACTGCGGAAAATTTGAAACCTTCCGTATGCCTTGTTCACATGTCATTGGCGCATGTTCTAGTGTTCGTCAGGATACACTCTTGCACCTATAAGAAGTTTACAAGGTTGTGAACTTATTCAGAATCTACAATAACAACTTTCCAGTGGTAGCTAGTGAGGACTATTGGCCAACCTATCAAGGGGGCACAATTTACCACAACGAAAACATGAGAAGAAACAAAAAGGATCGCCCCAAAAGCACGCGAATTAGAACTGAAATGAATACAACTAAGAAAATGGAAAGATTGTGTGGAATATGTCGTCTTCCCGGGCATATGAGGAAACGTTGTCCAAATGTTGGAACAAGTTCTAGATAGATTTACTTTGGTCATTAAAAAATGTGTAACCTTCGAATTCAATATTTATAACAACTTTTGTTTACAACAAAACAAATTGAAATACTTCTAAAGCAACAACGTAAACCATTAAAAATATAGAGATTAATACAACATAAACTAAGATATAACAACAATCAACGTAATATCATCAGTTCCAAACATCATAGACCTAACGTTGTTGTCATCTTTAATTCGCACCCACTCGCGCTGTATATTGCCATCTACAATCGAGAAATACGAAACAAGTCTTTCAATACTTCTAATTCTTTCACCATCTGGCATGTCTCCTTCTAACCAACGATTCAAATTCCTTCGTAGTTGCTCTAAACTTTGGATGTTCCAAAACATCATCCTTATCGGAGGCTTGGTTCTTGAGAAAATGACATGCCCATATCTTCTAAGATACATGATTCAATATGCTAAATTTGTAAGAAACAATGACAATTTAAGTGTGAAAGAATATACAAGTCATGACATATATTTATACAAGAAAAATTTCAAATAAAATAATAATAAATATTATAATATTATATAATATAATATATGACTTACTAAAAATTAAATAATTTATCACGAAATAAGGGGGGCTCCAAAGCAAATGGAGCCTCCTCATATTACATAAGAGTGACTCTAAATAGAATGACACCTGCTCTTAATTCATAAGGGTGACTCTAACACAAACGACACTCTCTCCTTATTCATAAGGGTGTCGCCAAACCCAATGACGCCTCCCTTCAATGCATGTTTTTTTGTTGAAAGTAGGGTATTTTGGAAATTTTTTTTTAAAACTTGGTTATTTTGAAAAATATAAGGGTAAAAGGTGGTTATATTGGTAAAATTTTCTAATTTATGATCTTAATTTATAAAGTTCCATAAAGACTAATATATAATAATTTGTCACATTTTACTATTACATATCAATTAAATATAGATTTTTCAATTTTTAGGTTAAAAGTTATGAAAAAGAGACTACTAAAACTATTTAAAATGATAGGCTAATTTTATGCAAATGAGTTGGGATTAGAGGTGAGAATAGGTGAGACCAACTAACAAGGGCCTACGCCTACCCTACATAGGTTCAGGCCAGACCAGACTTTTTATTAAATAGAAAAGACCTAAGCCTTTTTATAAGTCTTTTTAGCTAAAGAGGTTAGACCACAAACCATAAGAAAAACCTTTTAAGCCTACCAGGACGGCCTATTTATGAAAAATTTAATAAATTTATTATTATTATATTGTATTTTGTACTTTGAATTAAAATACGAAAATAAAGCTTAATTATTTTGAACAACTTATGAAAATAAGTTGAAAAAATATTATAAACAATTCATTTTTCTCCATAAGTTCTCTCCAACAAATAGTATCACCAAACTTATGTTAATAGGTAAACTTAATGAGACAATGAAAACAAACATTTATTCTTAATGATCTTTAATTTGTTAGTTTATTTAACATTAGTTGAATTTCTTATTTATAAACGTTCAAATGAAATAGGCTAGTAGGCCAATCAGTCCTTCGAAAATACCTGACTTATACCTAAAAATAAATCTGTGATAGGTTACAGGTCAGACTTAGGCTTTAAATTTTTTAACCGACCAGACTCAGACTGACAAAGTCTAGCTCGGTCTAGCTGTTTTCACTCCTAGGTAGAATAAAACTTTAATTAAATTAAATATTTATCAAAATATTTGTATTAAATATTGTAAATAAAATAGTTAACTGAAGTAAATTTCACAAATAGAGTTCTATTGATATAAAAAAAAGTAATAAGTATTTTAGAAATATTTAAAATAATTATTTTCTGTGACTGAAAAAACATAAGTATGAAAATTTAAGGGTATATTTAACAAGTTTTGCCTCCAAAAATGTTTAAGAAATAAGAGTCCTACCATATAAGAAATCTTTATTTTATAAACAAACTTTAAATTTTTCATAGCAACACAATAATCAAAAGTTGAAATTGACAAAGAGGTCAAAAAGTTTTACAGATCGCTCAACAATCATCAATGGTGATTGGTCATATATTTAACTTAAATAAATACTAACAAATAAAACTATGAAATTAAGAAGAAGAAAAAACTAAGACGTCTACTACGAGTAACAAATAAGAAAAAGGTGAAATGATTCATTCTAATAAAAAACTGCAACTACCATTCTTAGCTAAGATTCCAAGAGCATATTCTATCGACACAAAATTTTACAAACAAGAAGTGGTCCAACCTAAAAGTAGTAGCAAATCAACGTCATACTAAGTTGCCATTTGGTAAAAATGCCAATTGCCAAATGATAATTAATGCTATAAAAGTATCACAATGAACCTATTCACATTTGGTACTTAAATAAATGGTTTCAATATATGTACACAGTACACACCACTTGATAAGTGCACAATTTCTCTAATTTTAGTACCTTCAAATTTATTAAATACTCCACAAATAATTTACTACTAGTATATTCAAAATAAAATATAAGTAAAAATATTTTTTATTTTTAAATTTAAATATAAAAAAATAAATATTCTTCTATTTATAATTCTAGCATCTATAAAATATATATTTTTAAAATTTTTAAAATATTTTTTAGATCAAATATGAATAAATGAGATGTTGCTAATTTGAATTCACTCATCTACAATATATTATATATAAACCGTTATCAATTAAAATGATTTAATAAAATTTTTTTTATAATATTTTTAAAAACTAAGTTTATTTATCATATTTTTATTTTACTCAAAATATATGTAAATATATAAAAAAAGTAAAGTTTATACGTATATGAATATTTAACTTTTCAATAAATAATTGTTTTATTTATACTTTTACAAGTACGCGTGCGTATGAATAGTAATAGTGGCCATTGTCATTCTGTCTGATGCTTTCCAGGTCCCTTCCTTTCCGCTCACGGGTTCACCTTGTTACAGCTTATTAAATTCTAATTCCAACCTTACTCATTTCAATCACCGATAGACTCTGATATCATATTAGAGTTTGACCTAACACTACTTTATAAAATTGGTTGGTAGAGTGAGAATTATCCCCATTTATAAACACATTCATGTCATATATTGTCTCAGGACTAGACAACTGAAGCATGGAAATAAATGGTGGGTGACCCAATAGCAGAAATCATAAAAGGTGATTTACCGGATCTTAAATCAGATTCTGATACCATATTAAAAAATGTGATTGACTCCAATTGGTATAATAGAAAGGAAATTGAAACACCTTGATATAATAACTGATTCCTAAATTAGATTAATCAAACTGATGCACGGAATACTGGTGGTAAAATCAATTTTTTTTATATAAAATATCAAATTTTAAATTACAACCATTGGATACAGATCCCCTATCCCCACTCTCATTGTCCTTTTCTATCTCTATTATACATTTTGTTTTATTTTAATTAATTAAACACTGCACACCATTAATTATGACCGAACCAAACCAACCCATTCTCCATTTTTTAATATTATTTTAATCCAATAATTCAAATTGCCATAATCATTTTTTTCTATAAATTCAACCACTGAATCCCATCAAAACCTCTTTCCTTCTCTTCTTATCATCTCCTCTAAAAATTGGTCAAACCTCATCCTCCTTCTTCCATTTTCATATTCTTTCTTATCATCTTTTCTTTCCCAAACATCAACTTGAGTTTATCTTTTCAGCACATAGTCTTTGACACCCTTTTCAAATTTCTAGAACAAGAATTCTCTTCTTCATATATATAACCTCTCATATACCTATCATCCTCATAAACCATCCATAGTTACCTTAAAATCCCTCTAAGTACTTGTTTCTCTTAAATCATAACCCACACAAAAACAGTTTTATTTTCTTTCTTCCTATAGTTATGAATGATTGAAAAACAACACAGATGTCTCCATTAATCTTTGAGATCTCTATGATAAACTCTTCCCTCAGACGCAGAACCCATTTAGTTCAATCTTTCTCTGTTGTTTTCCTATACTGGTTCTATATTTTCTCATGAATTAATATTTAACCTCTTTTATTACCTTACAATCTAAAATTTAGTTTCATTAATTCTATTATTCTAGTCAAATTAACTACCAATAGTTAGAAAAACAATAGTACTATTACCACGATCTGAGTCGCGGTGACATCAAAAATCGCAATTCGCAACCGTGGTTTAAACCCTAATTTTCACATGGCTTCTCCTGGAGCATATTCATCTGGTACAAGCTCTCTTCAAAACTCTGGATCTGGATCAGAGGGAGATATGAATATGAATATGAACACGAACATGAATCACATGCAGGTGAATATAACAGATCAAAAGAAGAGGAAGAGAATGCAATCCAACCGAGAATCGGCACGAAGATCAAGGATGAAGAAACAGCAACACATGGAAGGACTTAGCGCACAAATTGAAGAGCTGAAAAAAGAGAATAATCAAATAAGCACAAACGTAGGGATAACTACTCAGATGTATCTGAACGTTGAATCTGAGAATGCGATTCTTAGGGTTCAGATGGCTGAACTAAGCAACAGATTGCAATCGCTCAATGATATTATCCAATACATTGAATCAAGCAATTCACTGTTTCAGGAAACGGATCAGTTGTTCAATGATTGTGGATTCTTGGACACTTGGAACTTTTTTCCTGTTAATCAACCGGTTATGGCCTCTAATGATATGTTGATGTATTGATTTGATGAAGTTTGGTTGCAAATTGTGAATGGTTTTGGTTGATTCTTGGTGCTATAGTTGATTGTAACAACCTCTGTTTGTTTTGTGTTTAGTATTTGTTTTTGTTTATTTTATTTTTTCCTGTAATGTCAAGTTGTCAATTGTTTTTATTTTATATATATTAGGGTTATTATACTATAAGTTTTATATATGATGATGTATTAAGGTTGGGTAGACAAATGTATTAGGGTTTGTGTCTATGTAAGTTTCTAGAAGGGGAGGAATTTTTTATGATTTATGCAATTGGAAAGTATCTCACCCTTACATTAATATGAATGTTGTCAGTTTATTAAGAATTTATTTATAGGTTTCCCAAATTTATCACACATTTACTTACAATTTCTTGTAACAATATAATGTATTAACTATAAATCTCATGTTTGTTTTTAAATATGACATCATAAAAGCAATTTAAATTATAATAAAAATACTTATATTAAATATGAATTTGCAACATTAAAATAAACCAAAACAAAGAAATCTTAATCTTATAGACAAAGAAATATGTAATGGTGCATAAAAGAAAATTTGTGGGGTTTTGATTTTGCTTTTTTGTAATTTTCTCGAGATGCATAACACTACATACATGTAGGGTTACTTTTCGGTTTTATGCAATGTCAGAGTGGAACCCACTACTTGTTGAAACACAATCACTATGATGATATTTATATCACTTTATTTCTGTTTTTATTTGGTACTGGCTTTTGCTTCACTTTGGCTATGTCACTAACTCACTATGTATGTACTAGTTCAATAATACTACTAGGACCCAATTTCAGTACTCCTTCTGAACTTTGTACTACAAGTATATTGATATGAAAGCTTCTTTTCTCATCCACTAATCTTAAATTTAAAACATAGTATAACATATAACATAACATGCTAAGTAGCATGTGTAATAGTCACAGGTTGACTAGAAATGTGAAAATTTAAATATTTATAAATAAAACAATTCATATACATATTATCTTAAGGTTTTGAGTGAATATATATTGTGTCTTTCACAAATGTGTTGCATTAGAAAAGAAGTCCCACAATTTTCAATGCTCCTTAGTAGTATCATGAGCCCTTGTTTCGAGTGAATGACCGAGTCATTTGTATCGAAACTTCCACTTAAGGATGAACATTGTGAAAGTATTGTGGATAGACTCACACTTGAGGGGGAGTGTTAAAGTATAACAAGTATAAGTAGTATAGGTATGGGTAATAGTCACACATTGTTTAGAAATGTGAAGACTTGAGCATTTATAAGTGAGAGAACCCATACACCTATCACCTTAAGGTTTTGGGTGAATTTGTGGTGTGTCTCTCACAAAGATGTTGCTCAAAGAAAGGAATTCCGACAATGTTCAATGCTCTCTAGTGAAAATCTCCCCTAACAATTCTGTTATTCTTTTGAACGATTATTTTGTCTGAATTTGCCAGTGTTTTTTATTTAGAAGTTGTTAAGTTTATACTTCGTATTGATTTTTGAATTTGACTTGGTTAATATTCATTATTTATTTTTTAAGTTGTTATTGATTTTATGTTGTATATGTTGAAAATTAACATACAATGACAAACTAATATGATGAGAAAATAAAAATTTTCAAACTCATAAGAATCTACGAAGATCAACGAAAAAATATGACGGTAAATAGAACAGATAAATGTAAAAGAGAACGCTAATATTTTAACATGGAAAATCTTTAATGTTATAGTGAAAAATCACATATTGTTAGAACAAAAGAAATAACCTCGTTATAATCAAATAAGAGTATAAGAGAGTCTTAAAGTGATGCACAAATTAGTGTTAAAAACAAATAAACTACAAAGCGATCTAACTTACAAATAAAAAACAAGAAATTAAAAATATTCAAAATTGCATTTTCAGTGCGAAGCTAATATCTCTTAGTTCACACATTGTTTCAAAGATTCAAACGGTTAAAAGGTAGACACAATTGTTACGAACCTACTCTCCAAAAATGAGTCTCATACAACACTTAACGAATTTAGAATCTCTGCTTTATCAAGACTGATTGCAACAAAAAAACGAGAATTGGTTTCTCGCCTAAATCTATTTTGAAGTTGATCTCTCTCTCTCTCTCTCTCTCTCTCTCTAAAACGACTCTCTCCAACCTACAAAACACGTTAACCTTTCCAAAGAGATCAAAAATATTATGAATAATTAAAGAAACTAACATATAAACCACTCAAACTATATGAAAAACGTAATTAACTCGCGCATACATTCACCTGTTAAAATGATAATAACTATAGCATAAATGGTGGCTGATCACAACTACAAACTTAGTTTTGTAGTTATGATCAACCACCATTTATGCTATAGTTATTATCATTTTAACAGGTGAATGTATGCGAGTTTTTTACATTTTCCATATAGTTTGAGTGGTTTATATAAGAAAAAGTTTTTTTTTTATTTATAAAATACCATAACTCTAGGATATTCTATAGTCCTCTTTTACCATGACCTTAAGCTTTTCTTGTTTACCGTGGTCAATTGATCTTCCACATTTTCACTTAATGATATTGCTTCACCTGTCACCACATTGCACAATCTCATCAAATATCTCAGGTGTTTATGTGCTTTCATTCAAAATTTACAGCATGCAACATTATACCATATCCTTGAATATATTCTAACTAGATGACAAGATGCACGATACACACTTTTTGAGGTCTTGTAGGTTGTAATTGAGTTGGGGCTCGACTAGGATATATTTGAAGAGTAGGTTGAGACTTAGAGTAAGGAGTATTATTCTCATTGACAATGTCTAATTAAAAACTACTAGGGGATATTTCGTTCAACTAAAATATCTTTGGCTTTTGATTTTCACTTTTCTTTGAGTACTTTGTTATTTTTTTTTCATTTTTTCCAAGTTTATTGATTTCCAACTGACTTCTTTTTCTTTTTTCTTTTCAAATTTGTACTCATATTCATTTGATTCCCTCAATTTCTAATTGATACCCCAAACTTATTGGTTGTTATTCCAACAACAACCCCAAACTTAAATTTGACACATCTTTGAGACGTAATGCTTCTACTCCAAATAGGGTAGGGAAATGATTAGGTTAAAGGTTACACATAGGGTTAAAAGCAAACAAAAGGGAAATTGGCTCAAAGGGTTTATCTAAGGGATAAAAAAAATTAAAAAGGGATGTCTGAAAGGATCAGAGCTAAAACAAACAACGTGCCTCAATGCGTGTCATCATGCAAATGTCATCAGAAAAGAACGTACACAAGTTTTGAATAATAGATACATAGCCGAATGCTCTATCATGATGAACCAATGTGGTTGAATTTTTTTATCGTTACCATGTTGCATAGTGATGATAGCCTACACAATACCTCTTGTTGGATGGGGCTTCTCAACCAATTACGGTAGACATGTTCAACCTTCAGTACAACTCATTAAACCAATAAGATAATTTATAAGTATATAAAAATAGTTTGGAGGGTTAGCATGCACAGATGACACACGCGCGTCCAGTCTGGGTACTTTTTCACACAACCACTAAAGCTATAAGTATCATATTACTATATGAAAGTAAACAATTAAAAAAAACAAACAGAAAGCAAAACATAACTCAAAAAATAGTTTAAAATTAAATACTATAAAATAAAAAAATATATATTACAAATACCTTACTTGGGTTTTCTCCCAAGCAGCGATCATTTACTATCATTAGCTTAAAACCTCATTCCCTCTGCTATGGTGGATACTTCAGCTTAAAAACCTTGTTTCTTTTCTTTGTTGAAACAAAGAAACCATTTTTTTCCAGAGATAACATCCACTTTGTGGCACAAGTCACTTCCTACTCTTACCTCAATGCCGCTTTCTCTTCTTTCTCTTGGCTTTTGGAATGGATCTAAGAGGTTTTTTACTCAAGGTTTCTAATGGAGGTGATATCAATTGAGATGTCCTCTTTGCGACTTTTTCTGGGGGTGTTCATTGACTTGGGATTTCCCTCTGGATATCTATATTGTCTACTTGATAGTGATTTTTTTTCTTTCTCCTGCTTCCTGTTTTCAAGCACATTCAAGGTTATTTCATCATCACAAACTTTTAAATTCAGTGTACCTTTTCTATATCGATATTGCATCGAATTGTAAGCAAGAATGGTTGACCAATAATGATAGGTATCTATTCATCCTCGAGCATGTCCATAATCACAAAAATCAACAGGAAAACTAAATTACACTATTGTCACCAGTACGTCTTATGTTATCCCATAAGCATGCTTTGTGGACTGATCTGCAAATTTTGTACCTATATTGCTGACCTTTCTAATACCATTTTTTGATAGATAGACAACAACATCAGGCTCACATAGCTCTCGAATCAATCAAAACCTTCTTGAAAGTTATGTCTTCTATAGTGCATGGGATTGTGACAACTTTAGGATCTTTCTGTTTGATGGGGATTCTCCTACCTTGTGATACTGCATTACACTTCTCACTAAAGGTTACTGGCTCATCTCCAATTGTTATTTTTTGAGAGATTATCTCCTTCATAAATTTTTGGTGCATGGGCATTTTCTTTAATTCTTCAAAGAAAGGAATATCGATCCTCACTTTTTTAAACATTTCAAGAAATTTCTCAAAATATTTCTCATTTAGATCATTCTTCTTCATCCTTTGAGGCTAAGGTAGCCTGATCTCTGGTTTGGTCTCCTTTTTATTTTTATCTTCATTTGGTTTTTTGGGGATCATAACTTATTCTGGTTCTTTCTTGTTCTCCCTCACTTCCAGATCAACTTCTATAAAGTGATAATCACTTGTCACATTATCATTTTCCTTTTTAGAAACCTTCTGACTTCTTGTTATGGCAGCATTAACACTGGTCTGATCTCCAAAAGTGTTGCTCGAAGTACTCCCTTGTGAATGATGTGAAACATGTGCTCTTTCTCATTCATTCCTTATTTTAATCTTTGTGGATAATTATATTCGATCTTTGGCT